AGAAACACCTCTATGTGAACAATTTAGCATCTTGTTTTCATATAAAAGATGTTCAAAATATAATCCTTTCTCTTTCCTTCTGTTACAGTGCATGCAGGGAAATATACATAGCTATGTTAATTTCCTTCATATAGCTTTCCTTTTTGTTTCTACCTTGTGGTAGCCATTTATAATTTTCTCATCAGAATTTGTTTTTCAAGATCTCCAATCCTTTTAAAAGACTAAGGTTGTGGAATCATTGAGATCTCTTCTCTAACATTTTTACAATCTGCTTTTCTAAAGTCTAAGGTACCTGTCAGACTATGCTGAGTGTTTCCTTTCTTGGCTATTTCAAGCACTAAGATGACAAGTTGACTTTCTCTTGAGGTTCTTGTCACTTGAATTTCATGAACCAGTTCTTTTTCGTCCAAGTTAAGTCCAGAGAAGTAGTCCCTCATTGCTTCATCAAACAGCTGAGAGATGAAATTTCCAGCAAAATGAGACTTCTAGCAGATGTCTGGTTCATTGCCAGCTCAGCTATAACCTGCCTATCTCTAGTTCATTCTCATATCAAATCATTTATGTCTTTCATTCCTTTAATCCTCAGCATGGTATAGTGCACTGTTTCTCAAACTGTGGACAGAAGATGCAATTTCATGGTTCCTGAGTACTCTATAGAAATTTTAAATTTTGTGTGCTTTATTTTAATAACAATTTAAAAGTTAATGTAATCACATTCTGCATTATGATTTCAGTTCCTGGATTTGCATAAATATTTACGATTTAATAGCTGTTAAGTGATCACCTAAAGTAACACTGTTTAACATTATTGTGCTGGTAAAATGAGCAGAGTTGCCATTAAGATGGTATGTCTTAATGTCAAAATGAGAACAAAAATCTGCTGTACACTGTTTTTAAATTATTTTATCTGTTATAAACATTATTGTTTTGCAAAATAAATTTGCAACTAAATGACATTTTCATGAATAATAATTTAGTTTCTTAAGTTGTTCAATAGATTTAAACATTAATTTGACATCATAAAAAAAATGCAGTACTAGTTTAATTGTCACTGGCTAATGAGAAAAGAACACATGTGGACTCAGCATGTAAATAATGCATCCTCATCAAATGAAGGCCATGCTCTTCTGAGAGAATAAAGGTGTCATAGAGTCTGACGAGAAACAGTGGAGGAAGAATGGAATCATCACATGGCATACATACAATAACCTGAAGCATAACAATACATGTCATATCTACCTTGACTTTATTTAAGGAAAACAAATAATCCATTAAATAACGTTGAATGTTGGTGGTGGTATTGGTCATTGTTCTAATTTAGACTGTACTTTATCAATTTTAACGTTATAATTGTACTAGAACTGGATAGGTGTTGGAGCTACAATGGTGAGAATAAGGAATTGTTTGTTTCCATCCTAGTATAGATTTCTTGGCAAAGTCAGGGACATCACTCAAGCCTTGTGACTATTGCCATGGTTCTTTCCACCCCATGATGGTACTATTTCCTCAGATGACAGGTGAATGAAAGAACATCTTTCCATTCCCTCGCCGTCACTCATATAGCTGCTGCATGAGGTAGTCTAATATCAGTCTTTGAGGCTACTAGTCAAAGGGTTAAAATAGAAATATAGCTACTTCCGAGTATACGTTTATTTAAGGAAAAGTCTTAAAGTAGCCCAGATATCTGTGTGGGTGGTCTCAGATTGGATGTGAAAGTATGGTGGAAGAAGGTGAGCCAGAGTGGAGAAGTAGAAGATGTGTCAGAGGGAAAGAAGAGGAGAAGGAAGGAGAAAAAGAAGGAAGAAAGGAAGATGAGGAGAGAAAGAAAGAGAGAATGTGGTGGAAAACGCAAAGAAAATGCAAATTCAACATGAAATTGACATAAATAATATAATGTAAAATAATTCTAAAGCTACAACATTGTTAATTAAACCAAGATAGAATATACACTTGATTATTGTCTTCTATTTCATTTTTCTTCCAACTCCTTCTTGGTCTTTTTGTAATTGAATAATATGTTATAGTAATTTATTTTTAGAAATATTTAGATTATGAGGTAGTCATTTCATTTTATGGTGTGTATACAGATAATAATTCAAATCTCGAGAAAGGCGCACAGTTGGTAAAAAAGCCAAATGCAAAGGCAAAAATCTTAGGGCTGAGTATGTGAAATTTATTGTCAGAAAGTCAGGTTCCAAAAGGTAGCAATTAATACTTGATTCTGATAATTGAGTATTACACTTTGAAAAGATATATTTCATCTAAAGCGCTGGATAATATAAAAGTGGAAAAAAAAGTAGTCCATTTAGAAAAACTTGGCTGAAATAAAATAAAATAATAATAAATATGAATGAGATGAGTTTACTTGTTAAAACACGTCAATTTCAGTTTAAGTCAAATTTCTTTTAAAAAGACCACATGCTGTTTACAAGAGATACTTAAAAAAACAAAATAGTTAAAAATATAAATACATTAAACGAATAAATATTTAATACAAAACATGAAATTGTATTAGTTATAATAATGTTAAGTAAATTGGGTCATTTTATTTGGCTAAAGTTTCAATCCATGGGGCACTGAATTGTAAATGCGAGTTCTCATAAGGTGGCTTGATAAAAGATTAATATGTACAAGCCAACTAAAATAAACCCAAACCAGAATGGCTCTAATAAACATAAAGAAAAACGTCTTTGATAAAGACAACAACAATTCCATAATACTGGACAAGAAATGTAAATATTGTATTACAATGGTTTCTCAAATCTCTGGAGAAAATTACGATTTTGATAGGGTTAACTATTTGAAAATAAAATTAATTTGTATCTGTTTTTAATGTGCTCACAATTTGGGATAAATAAGTGATCTAAACTGGTCAAATAATTTGGGAATACAGCTCACAATATACTGTAGGAGATTCAAAATAAGCATTATATATAAATTCTAAGTGTTTTTTCACCAGTGAGTCTTGCCTAATTTAAACTAACATGTTTTCCAGACTTATTTGATCATGGAATATTTTTACATAATAATATTGTCTTGACTTGCCATGTAACTGAAACTGTGCTGATATAACTTCAGCAGAAGGTGTACTGGAGACAAAGCTAATCACTACTGTCATTCTTTTTTCTTTTTTGAAGAGATAACTAATGCTATAAAATGAGATAAAAAATGTATAGACTTTGGAATCAATGTTGCCAAAATCATTATTAGTTTGCTAACAATAAGTTATCTACCTGAGAAAACCAAGAGGATCAATTGAAAATCTATTGGACCCAATAAATGAATTCGATGAAGTGATTTTTCATAAAATCGATGTACGAAATCAGTATCATTTCTATATGCCGACAAGAAACAATTAGCAAATTTGATGAATGTATCCTATTTATGATATCACTGGAATTAAACTTCATGGAGAATTTTGCAGGATCTCTATATTAAAACAAAGAAAATATATGCCAAACTATTTTTAGAGGTATTATAAACAAAACTTTGCTAAATGTAGCAACATGAGTGGTAGTAAATTTCTGGAATCTTAATTCTTCCTAGCCTACTTTCTTAGTTCAATCAAAACCTCTCTTTAACATGAGGCATTTAAGGAAAAGATATTTATCAGAGTAAGGCTAACTGCCTGCAAGTGTCTTCCCCCAGAAAAGGTAGCTCCATCTTATATTGCCATTCAGAGGAATAAGTTTCTAATTAATACTCAATTACCTTACTCCTTTATGGGGCAAAAGTTCAATGATACAAACCACTTTATTTTTTGGCTAAGTTGTACTGCTTTGTAAAATTGGTCCTTGACGTATTTTGAGTTAGAACATTATACTTCCTAAAACTTCCGTAGGCAATGTGATTTTTTATTTCTTTATTTTTATTTCAAGGAGAAAAATTATAATACACTGCAGAAGGAATTCCATAATAAATAGAGTCATTAATGCCTTATTACTTTTCATTTCACCAAAGTTAAACAACTTACAAATTCTTTGTAATTTTAGTCAAAATTCAAATATTTTTTTGTGGGTAAAACTTGACAAAATGATTATAATATATATTTTAAAAAATAATCACAATAGAACAACCAAAGGAACATTGAAATTAAAAATTCAAAATATGCAAACAGAATAAGTATATCAGTGAAAATAGTAGTGCATAATATAGAACCATGTATATAAAGAACTTACCAGATAATAATATTGACCTCTCAAGCAGGAGGGATGAAAGGAAAACATATGGATATTGGATTAATTTGCTAGTTGTTTGAGAAAAAGCACCTTTTAATGCCTCTTATTTTTGTCATAAACATTAGAGTTAAACAAGTAGAAATGATTTTCAGTAAAAGCACAGTCCATGATATAACGCTGTCGTGAGTTCACAGTCTGTATGCTCACTTACTTTACAATTGGCAGTTTGCTGTGTAGAAAGCATGTGTCAGATAAATACACGTGTGTGTACAGGGTGTGGCACATGAGGACTGTGGTAGTGTACACACTGGTACAATTTTATATCGACGTTATGTGCAAGCCTCCATCTAAAATATATAGACTCGAGCCACAAGTTTCCTAATCAATGACCCCATCATAAGAACTTCATTTACGTGGTTTATTGTGAAGGTTGTACAACAAATGGACTAACATAGCTGCACAAGTTTATCATTGGTGTTCCAATGATTTAAAATTCTAGTATATGTAACAGATTTTATGTGTTTAATTAAACAAGTAATTTAAACATCACAAGCTTCACTATCCTCATATATATATGAATAATAAAACCTTCCCCATTGGAATTAAATAAGACTGCAAATATAAAATACAGTGGCATGTAGTAGGTACTTAAATATGAATTTCTTCCATTTCCCTTTTCCCTGAATGGCCTGCCCACTCCCACTGAACACCTAGTATAGGGTAACAGTAGGGTTATCTGAGACTGTTCCATGCAAATAATGCATTTTAACCTTTGATATGGGACAAATGGAAGTTAATTAATTCATATTTTTTTCTCTTTAGATGCTAACCTACTAGAACTATTAACTGAAAGAATCCACACAAACAGCTATAATTTATGCAATGAAATAATGGGAGAGCCCTAAATCCAACAGCCCATTTTGCTTATCTGTGGCTCTGACCCTGACCCTGCGTGCTCTAGCTACTGAGATGATGGTATGTACCATGTTGGAAATTCAAAAGTCAGAACATTTGCATTTCTGTGTACTCAGTTGGTTTTGTTAATCCAGAACTATGCGAAATATCAAATCACCATTGCCTAAAGATCTTGTTTCAGTCCTTCACCAATGTTGTTCTCTCCTCCTGCAGTATTCTTCCAACACTATCACTGTCTTCAATTTATCTGCCTAAATCCTCCTCAACTTTAAGTTCTTAATTTAGACATTATTTCCCTGGGAAGTCTTCTGGGATTCTTCCAAACCTAGGTACTATGCTTATCCATTTCACACACTTCCATAGCATCTGAGTTTTCTCTTCCAATACATTTCTCGAATTGCATTGAAATTACTCTCTTTATATATCTGAACTGCATACTGGACAGAAAGCTCCCCGAGAGCCTGGATCTGCTATATTGCTTACCATTGTCCCCTTATTGCTGTGCTCAGGTCATGGCACAGTGTAGGTACTCAATTAACATATTACTTTTTTTTGAAGAAGGTTAGCCTTGAGCTAGCATCTGTTGAAAATCCTCCTCTTTTTGCTGAGGAAGATTGGCCCTGAGCTAACATCCATGCCCATCTTGTTCTATTTTATAGTGGGACACCTGCCACAGCATGACTTGATAAGCAGTGCATATGTCTGAGCCCAGGATCTGAACCAGCAAACCCCAGACCACTGAAGCAGAGAGGGCGAACTTAACTGCTACGCCACTGGGCTGGCCTCTCAATTAATATTTTTTGAATTGAGACTTTAGGAAAAGAAGAGGATTGCTATGGGATTCAATCCAGTATAAAATCTGGAAAGAGAAATTTATAAATCTAAATTATAAACTCAATACAGCATTTGAGAACCTATTTTGACTTTTAAACAATTTTCCTACTACATTCATTGTCTGTATTGAGGATTTGATGTTCTGCAGAAAAGTAAGTGATGCCTCATGACAAACATTCACTATTACGTAAATGTGTAATGGACAGTTTTATCACTAGCAAAATGATCAACTTGTGATATTTGGAATCAAATCCTGGACTAATCTGCTATCACTTATAAACACTCAGGAGACTCCAGAGTATTTTACTCAAGTTTTCAGGCTGTTAGTGATAGAAATTAGCACAGGAGGCAGAAGCAAAACAAACCAGTGATGCACAGAGGTGGAGTACACTCTGTCAGGAAGCCATGTGCTGGAAACAGCGGTGTTGAAAGGCTAAGTGCAGTTGTTCAGATCTTTGCCGAGCAAAACCTTGTCTTTAAAAGAGATTTGATTGCTTGCAGAGCAAAGGATTTTAAGCTTTCCAAAACTTCAGTGTACTTGATTTCTGATCTAGGAAACAAATATCATCGTATTCAAACACAACTTTAGCAACTCAATGATTGCAACAATTCAAGAAGGAATATTAAGGGAATTTACAAGAACACTTTATTACCACGGACTTTAGGTCTGTGGATTAGCATTCTCAGGCACCTGTGTTTTATTTACGTAGGGAATAAAATTGTTGAAATATTGAGCTAATTTAGCAGGTCTTTTTTGCTATTGCAGTTGGCATACCAGTTTCAGACAATTGTATATAAAATTTTCTTCAAGCACTGCATTGGTCTTACTGCAACTGTCCTTCTGGGTGACTGCGATTTGTGAAGATAGGAGGTAAAATTACAAGTTGATTTTTTTGGTGCTTAGCCAGGACCTATACTCTTCATTTTACTCTTCCATACTGAAGCAAAGTTGTCACTAAAACATTGAGGCAAAATGATGAAATTGATGAACGTAGAGTTGCAGGAAACTCTATCAAATACTAAACATTTACGCTCTTAACATCAGTTAAAGAAAGAAATGACTAAGTGACCAGGTAAATTCAATCTCTCTCAAGTGAAATTTTGGGAGTGTTAGATAATCTGTTAATCATGAGATATATGTTACTAAGTCACTATCTGTAAAACAGAATTGTACCATCTTCACTGTTGACCGCATTTATTGGCATTCAACATTTACTAAACTTGTGTTTTAGAGAGAAAGACGGTATGGGGTTCTTGAAAGCAAAAAAATGCAACAGAAGATTTTCTTTATGCCTTTAGAAGCTTGTAATCTAATTAGGAACATTTTAACTACCGAAACAGATTTTCTGTAATTTAAATTGCTATTAGTGTGGATTATTGCAGATTCCCTTAGTATTCTGCTGCTTAACAGCTGAGGAAAAGATAAGTAGAAGAGAAACAGTCAGGTGAGATCAAGAATGAAAGGCTTCTTGAAGAAGATGAGGTTTACACTGTGTAAAGTAGATAATATACTTGCCATTGCAAGTAATAGAAAACTCAAGTCCAACTGGCTTATAAAATAAAGGAGATTTATTGGCTTGTGTTGCAGAATTCAAAGGTAGATCTGGCTTTTGAAAAGGATTGATCCCGAGGTACATAATATCATCAGAGTCAGGCTCCGTTTCTTTGCAGTCTTTTGGCTCTTCTCTCCTTAGTGTGTTGGCATCACAGTCAAGCATCCCTCTTTTGGTGACCGAAACAGTGATTTCAGAATTCCAGACTTTATACACTCATCTCTTTCTCCTGAGGGTGTTATCCTCAGATAAAGTCTGGAATTCTCTGAGCACCTCTGAATCTCTGAACTAATTATCATGACTAGAGGGGGATAGAATGCATATGCTCCATCACTGCCATTGGAATAGAAATTAAATTCCTTGGAAAGACCTGTATCTCAAATGGAAACAAGAAACTATTAGGAAGAGGAAAGGGGGATAAGTGCGGAGAAGGCAACCGACAAAGATTGGCTGGACTTGAATTTTAAAGAATGCTAAAAGAACATAGACTTGTAGAGAAGATAGGGTAGGATTCCGAATAGAAGGAGTAACGTGGAAATCAGCAAGTTGTGTTGGATCATGAAGATTACCTTAACTAGCATATATAGAAATAGTGAGATATTGATTAATTACATGATTGGAAGTTTTTGGATGGTCCTGAAGACTAGTTTAAGAATGTTAATTTTAAAAGCTATGTCATGTGCTGGGCACCCTGGTGTATAAGTCGCCCCAGATGAAACTAATCATTCTCCCGTCTACTTGCCCTCCATGGATATGGCAGCCAGATTATCAACATAAGCCTTTTAGTTCTGCATGAGAAAAGCAACAGTCTTAGGGAAGGCTGAAGTTACCTGAATGCAGATGTCATGGACTAAGAGATTAAGTGTAGCTTTTCTTGATAGAAATTGTGACTGTATTGATAGTTTTATGTGCAAGTTCCCCTACTCCCACTGGAGAAAAGGCTATGGAACTGATTTCATCTTTCAACTGTAGCCATATACAGTTTGGGTTGTTGATGTTCCATGGTTGGTGATATTTTAAAGACTGAACAATACAGAATTTGCTAACGTTAGAGTTTGTATTCCAGTGTGATGAACTTCTCAAAGCCAAATAAGAGTATACTCATCTGAAAAATAGAAGGGCTTTGGTTGAGAAGAATGTACATTCTCCCTGTCTATCATCTAAGAGGGTCTCTGAAACAAGGATAAGCTCTAAGGAGACAGACTTAGACACTGTTGAAGGAAAAGAAAATAAGTCTTCTTTTTTGTATCATTGTGATTGTTTTGTTCTGAACTTAGAACTACAGACATACACAAAGTAATCCCAGTGTTGGGAGTAAGCTGAATCTTAACTCATTGTGACAGCATTGGAGATTTATGGGGAGAAGTCCTAGTGAAGACTGCTGAAGAAGTCTGCTTAGCCTGTTGACTCTGAGAGTAGTGACATCCTGTAGTCTTTATAAGTAATTCTCTTTGTTGTACTTACCTTTCATTTTACTCCAATTTTCAGTAAAATATATATATCTTAAATATATAGTTTGGTCTTTGCTGAATTATAGGGAACTGGGATGGGCTTATATCAGGCTTGGAATGGAATGACCCAAGGGATATGTCTGACTTCACCCTTGATGCCAGAGTAGTGGTAATAGTGGTCATCCCCCATCGAGGAGAGTAGTGAGAAAAGGAGCCACAGTCTTAGGAAGGTCAGCAGCAGCAATGGCAGCAGTGGGGCTACCTGGTGGGGAGGCTGGAGGGGAAGAAATATCCTTGAGCACAGAAAGACACCTCAGAAATATCACTGAATATAACTAAGGGGATTCTTATAAATAGCTGCTGACACTTTGTTGGAGGTTATTGAACAAGAATATAAATTTATGTCATACTCAAAGGCTGGTGAATTTGCAAGAACATTTTTGTGATTATTATAGGGAACCAGAGTAATAACGGTATAAGAACAGTAATGGCGGAACATCACACAATACTCTTAGCTATGTATAGTGTCAACCAGTGGGCAAAATAAACTATAGATCAAGGGAACCAGTGCAGAAGTGAATGAGAAATATATCACTTCAATGAATTTTAAGTTCTTATGTTTCAAAATAATTTGCAAGCTTTAGGGTTGACCAAAATGTGTGTTGTGAGTGGTGTAAGCTAATAACAGTTGAAAAGAAAGCAGTTGACTCTGGAGAAGAAGAAGAAATGAGAGAATGGGCTCTAAGTTCCTAGTTCTCTTTTTCATTTGTTGCCTAACATTTCAGTCCAGATCTGAAGGATCAGTCCTGAAGAATACCGCCCTAATTCTCAAACACTCAATTTCATGTGGTCTTTACTTTTCTAGAAGCAAAGCTTGATCAGAAAAACGAAAGTGGATGTTTCTTTATGTCAACCATGTTTGTAACTTCTTTATGCTGTGGAAGTAATTTTAGGAGACATACAGAGTATGTAACACCATTTCTGTGTCCATTTGTGTTTTTATGAGTAAGATGAATTGGAGCACATCATATTTCAAATGCCAGGTTGTGTCTGTCTCTTAATATGAAACAAAAACCTAAATAAAGCAGTATACATTTCCCCTGGAATCATTAAATTAGACTCTAAAATGTTGGGGTTTTTTAATGTGTTCGTTGTGTGTTTTGTATGTTGTTTATTAAGTCCTGTACTGAAACGGAGGGAGGAGTGAAGAGTTGGGTGGACTTGCTGTGACAAGAAGACAGCAGTTTGACATGTCGTGATATCTAAGCTTCAATATCAACAATGACTTTTGACAAATTTTGAATCACTGATTTCTTTACAGCTGCCTGTGTGCTTCATGAACTAAAGAATATTTAGCTCCATGTTCAGGGATCCTTTTCAGTTCTAGTAATTATAATCATTCTATGATTTAATTTTAATCATTTGTCCCGTGGGTCCATGTTAAAGAAAAATGTATAAAATATTGTGCAGAATTATAGCAAAGTGACTTTTAAATAATTTAATAACAATGGAAAATAAAAATGTTTC